GGCCAATCAAAATAATATGAGCAAATTTGATAAAAAAAACTACCCAAGAATGCTACAGACAAAGTTTGGTGATCATCCATCATTTAGTTCTGTAGAAATAGACATTTAAATGTATTTCTATTTTTAGCTTAAGCGACCCCTAAAAGGGGCCAATCATATTCATATGATCAAACTTGATAAAAGACTACCCAATAATGCTACAGATTATCCATCAATTAGTTCTGTAGAAGATGTTTCAAGTTATTTTCGATTTTTAGCTAAAGAGACCTCTAAAAGGAGCCAATCAAAATAATATGAGCAAACTTGATAAAAGACTACCCAAAAATGCTACAGACAAAGTTTGGTGATCATCCATCAATTAGTTCTGTAGAAATAGACATTTAAAGGTATTTCTATTTTTAGCGTTTGCGGCCCTAAAAGGCGCCAATCAAAATAATATTAGCAAACTTAATAAAAAAACTACCCAAGTATGCTACAGACAAAGTTTGGTGATCATCCATCAATTTGTTCTGTAGAAATAGACATTTAACAGTATTTCTATTTTTAGCTTTAGTGGCCCCTAAAAGGGGCCAATCAAATTAATATGAGCAAAATTGATAAAAGACCTCCGAAGAATGCTACAGACAAAGTTTAGTGATCATCCATCCATTAGTTCTGTAGAAGGTGTTTACTGGTTTTTCTATTTTTAGCCCAAGAGACCCCTAAAAGGGGCCAATCAAATATATATGAGCAAACTTGATAAAACACTACCCAAGAATGCTACAGACAAAGTTTGGTTATCATCCATCAATTAGTTCTGTAGAAGAAGATGTTTAAAGGTTTTTCTTTTTTTATTTTAGCTCTGTTGTCCCCTAAAAGGTGCCAACTGGAATGACATGAGCAAATTCAAGTGTGACTCTCACAAGGATGTTACATACCAAATTTGAAGTACATCTGCTCAGTAGTTTCAGAGAAGAAGAAGATTGTTGACGCATGACGACGGACGATGGACGCCGGAGCATCCCTCTTTGATAATAATAGCTCACCCTGAGCCTTCGGCTCTGGTGAGCTAAAAATGGTAAAATGTATTTAACCATACAAAACACTGTGGTAAGGTTGTGAGTTTTTTTCCAGTAAAACACGTAAATAATACACATATCTATAAATAAGAAATTTCCAAACTTCATTCATAAATTTGCATGAATGAAATTCTTGACATTGTCTGTATTTCCTAAGTAATAGTTTTATACATACTTTTTTGTTTTTAAACAATTCGAATGTTCATTTCTTGAAATTTATCGTTATCATTCACTAATAAAAATGACTGTATACTGGATTGGAAACTATCAATGCTGTGTAAATATTAATTTAATTTGCATTCATCTTAAATTAGATTAAATTAAGTCAGCTTACAAATGATTCCTTTTTATCTGTAACCCATTACATGCTGACTTTGTATATTTTACATTTAGAACCGTCAACCAATGTCCCGCTAATTTCAATACAAAAATATACAAAACAAAAGATGTTAAGCTATTAAGCTACCAGTTATACAAAGCCTGGTCAGACTGCAAGATGTGCATGTTTTGCTGTATTCTGTTGGCATAAACTTATCACTTTCAATTAAAGCTGGTAAATAGTTAATTCAAAGTCAGGCATTTTGTCATTTTGTTTAATTCACTATTAATCAATTTACTTTTATATCAGTACAATATTTATAACAAAAATATTTCCTGTATTCCCCTCTACATTAAATGTAAATCTTTGCTTTTTCAGAGACAGGCTTTCAAAAAGATAATTAAAATGATAAAAAATAAATATATGTACATTTATATCATTGTTCAAATTATATTGAAAATGCATAACATCTCGTAGAAGTCATGAATAATTAACTTTAACAAAGGAAACAATACACTTCCATTTCACATTTTTATCACCAAATTTTAAGTTGTGTAGAAAAGTGTCTCATTAGATAAACCCTACGCATACTTTTTCTGTATCTTCCACTACTGAACATACATTGTAATAAGAACAATCAATTTTACAGCATTTAGATGTACCCATATAAATACCCTTATCGAAAAAGCTATCATACTTTTCTCCCTCCTTTTTCTTTCTGCAGACGTGTGCATATATTTTGCACCTGACTGTCTCAATATCAACCACTTCCACTTTTCTTCTCAACTTCAACACTTCTGAATTTACAGCTTGAATCATCAACCATTAATTAATATTTGACTAAAATCAGAGGTCTAAAGCAACAGTAATTAACGTCAGTGTTATTTAACTAGATGCAATTTCAAATTAAACTTTAATATCTTTATAGTTAAACTTTTTTAAACTTGCATCCTCCATCAAACTTAACACATATCAAAGTCAAGAGACATTTTCATACATGTATCTTTTTTGATTAAGGTTCAAAATATTTACTGTCCTGTATGTTCAATTTAACATAGATTATAGATCGAGTTAAGAACTTTTTCTTTTTGAACTCTTGATTATTCTCAAATTGACTCATTTTAAGTCTAGTCCAATTTCAAGCTTAACGACCTTTGAAATTACCTTACACCAAAAGCTTTTGATGACATCAAATATTTAAAGAAACATAATGATCTATCATCTGTCAATCAGAGAAAATTCTTTGAGTTTATTGTTGAAGAATCTCTCCATGGTGTTGGCACATTTATAATACTCTGTATCAGGTTTGTTATAAGAACGACAATTTGTGAAGATTCTCATCATGTCGGCCATGAACAATTTCTTGTGAACGTAATATCTGTTCTTTAAACGATCTCCCATTGTTCTAAGATCTATAAATAGAATTTGTTATTGATTTAAAATCAATACATACATAAAAACTACAAAACAATAGTTTTTATCTTAAAGCTCTAGATTCTACATTTGTAATGCAAAAGTTATCCTTTAAAAGAGAGTTGAAAAATATGTTCTGAAAATATTAATGATCGATCATATATTTTTGGTTGCGTTTTAAATAACACTGACAATGTGAAGGTGATATGGCAACATATTGGAAAAGGAAGACATCAGGTGCCCCTCTGTGCAATCGTTCAGGCACCTGAGGAAAAACACTCCGTAAGTCAAGTGAGCAATCATGATAAAAACTTTATAACAGAAACCCTTAAATGTTACAAAATATTAAAATATTCTGAATTTAAAGCAAGAAAAGTTAACTTCATAAATGTAGCAAGGGGAAAAGCATGAGAAAAAATAACAAAGAAAATACATATGTCACTTACCCATAGGAAACTTGATGTAATCATAATAATCAGGGGCTTCAGCTTTCTCCACTGGTTTAAGGAAAGGCCAAGCACTAGCATGAGTCTGTAAAACACAGGGAAGTTGTTTTTTCTATTACAATGCTAGTCTAATTTGGCTTACAGTCATTTGAATCAAATGTTTTCTGTGTGAATTTTATTGAGAACTTCTCTTCTAACTTGACAATGCAACTACTGATTTGTAACTATTAAAGGGAAAGAACTCTGATAAAATTAATGAAACTGGTAACTGAATGCCAAAGGAGTAACTAGACTTTTTACTTTTTCTAAACGCAAACATAGAAAGGTTTGAACATATATTAACGTTTCATTTTTATCAATTCAGTTGGTCTGTCTTGTCACATTAGTTTTGTTAATATATATTGTATATATATATGAATAGAAACATTAAGCATATTTCTAAAAATAGCAACAGTACGCAATTTCTGAAAATAGCAACAATGACGCAATTTCTAAAATAGCAACAATAACACAATTTCTAAAAATAGCAACAATAACGCAATTTCTAAAAATAGAAAAAATGACGCAATTTCTAAAAATAGCAACAATGATGCAATTTTTAAAAATAGAAAAATGACGCAATTTCTAAAAATAGAAAAAATGACGCAATTTCTTAAAATAGAAACAATGACACAATTTCTAAAAATAGCAATAATTTCTAAAAATAGCAAAAATGACGCAATTTCTAAAAATAGAAAAAATGACGCAATTTCTTAAAATAGCAACAATGATGCAATTTCTAAAAATAGAAAAAATGACGCAATTTCTAAAAATAGAAAAAAATGACGCAATTTCTAAAAATAGCAACAATGACGCAATTTCTAAAAATAGAAAAAATGCCGCAATTTCTAAAAATAGAAAAAATGACGCAATTTCTAAAAATAGAAAAAAATGACAGTTTTTAAAATGCAAAAAAAATGACGCAATATCTAAAAATACAAAAAATGACGCAATTTCTAAAAATAGAAAAAATGATGCAATTTCTAAAAATAGCAATAATTTCTAAAAAAAGATAAAATGACGCAATTTTTAAAAGTAGAAACAATGACGCAATTTCTAAAAATAGAAACAGTGATGCAATTTCTAAAAATAGATCAATGATGCAATTTCTAAAAATAGCAACAATGATGCAATTTCTAAAAATAGAAAAAATGACGCAATTTCTAAAAATATAAAAAATGACGCAATTTCTAAAAATAGCAACAATGACGCAATTTCTAAAAATAGAAAAAACTGACGCAATTTATAAAAATAGAAAAAATGACGCAAAATTTCTAAAAAAAATATATATATATAAGTTTGGATGAAATTGGCTTAGTGGTTTATGAGGAGATGTCATTTAAAGTAAAAGTTTACGGACGGACGACGGACGGACGACGGACGGACGGACGGACGCCGGACGAAAAGTGATCACAAAAGCTTACCCTGTCACAAAGTGACAGGTGAGCTAAAAACACCAGCATAAAATCATTCAAAAATAGAAAGACAAATCTTTCCAAAATAAGGTCTCAAATTTAACACAGACAAACTAGCAAAATGCAAGTGAAAATTGAAACTACCAGTATTTTCTTTTTATTTAACTTGCTAAGTGTTCCACATACTGACATATGAATATGATTTGACGAACATCTTTTGAAATTTTTTTTCTTAATTTCTATTCCACTAGATCTTAAAACACATTAATACTTTTTTAATGATTAAACAAAGTTAAATCAAAATTCTTACCTTAACTTGTTCATTAGATGTAACAGCACAGAAAACAATCTCTGTAAACCCTTGTGATGGGAACATTCTAAAGCATATACCACCAATAACGTTATTATCCTTTACCAATGCCAGACACTTGTGTTTCCTGCCAGGTTTTTTTAGATAAAATAGAACATATTCATGGTCAATGAAGTTGTAGCAAAATTAAGTACAAACAAAACTCATATGTACAAAGAGTTAACTCTGGTAATAGTCAGAACAATCTGTGGGATTCGTTAAAGTGATATGAATAGTGGGTGAATGTGTAAAATTAAAAATAAGTTAATATTTTGGCATATTTGTTTTCTATTTTACAAAATAATCCTTTAACATCCTTGGGTATGTATGGGTAATGCTCAATGTATAAAAGTAGTTTGGGCAGTTTTCAAAGGCTGTTCTTACCTTTTCCCTTAAACCTTTTCTATTATCAAATATTGGTCAATCACCATTATGATAGTCATTCTTTTCATCATAACCATATGAAAATGTCATAATATTTATCAAGAGGAGTCAGACGAGGTTAATGTATAATTATAATATATCATTTTCCACGCTTACATCACTGGCTATCTTTAGAGTCTACATGTATATCTCATCGCAGATTGTGTAACATCACATGTAATATTTAGATACAATAAAAACATCAAGAATAGTCCAAAAAATCTGTAAAACAATCTTTGAAGAATACAGATATGAATATGCCTCCTTTGGTTTTTTTTTTAATTTTAATTTTTTATTTACATGCTGCCATGTTGTTTTTCAAATATACAATATCTATATGTTATCTTAGCAAACATTTTTGGCCGTTGAATTGACACAAATTCAAGCTTTTAACACTCAAGTCTTAAAAATACTACCACAAAGGATGCACATATAAGAATTTATCCTTTTTTATCTTGTATATGAGAAATAAGAGAATTTCTAAGATAAAAAACAAGAGGACCATGATGGCCCTGAGGTCGCTCACCTGTATATAGGCCCCCGGAGCGGGGCCATTTTAAACCCCAGGGCTTTTATTTGAGCAAACTTGGAAGACACCCATTAGAAGATGTTTCATGATGTTAGGTTTTTACTACACACATATAATGAAAAACAATGACCTCCCCCCCCCCTTTGGCAGGGCCAATTTAAACCCAAGGGCTTTTATTTGGACAAACTTGGTAGACACCAACAAAAAGATGTTTCCTGCTTAAAATCTAACCTCTAGCTCATTGGGTTTTTTAAAAAAAGATTTTTTAAGTTTTTAGTATACACATATAGTTTGTTTGTTTGTTTTGGGTTTTACGTCACATCGACACAGTATAGGTCATATCGCGACGTTCCAGCTTTACTGGTGGAGGAAGACCTCAGGTGCCCTTCCGTGCATTATTTCAGGCACGAACGGGCACCTGAGTAGAACCACCGACGTTCCTTAAGCTAGCTGGATAGCTTCCTCACATGAAAGAATCCAAAGTCCCTGTCGGGATTCGAACCCACAGCGGTGAGGGGCAAATGGTTTGAAGTCAACGACCTTAACCACTCGGCCACGGACACCCCACACATATAGTTAAAAACAATGACACCCCTGGGGCGGGGCCAATTTTGACCCCAGGGCTTTTATTTGAACAAACTTGGTAGACACCCATTAGAAGATGTTTCATGCTAAATATCTTAGCTCTAGCTTTTTGGGTTCTTTAAAAGAAGATTTTTTAAGTTTTTACTATATGCATATAGGGAAAATCAATGACCCCCTGGGGCGGGGCCAATTTTGACCCCAGGGCTTTTATTTGAACAAACTTGGTAAACATCCATTAGAACATGTTTCATGCCAAATATCTAAGCTGTAGCTCTTGGGGTTTTTTAGACAAAGATTTTTTAAGTTTTTACTATATGATTATAGGGAAAATCAATGACCGCCAATTTTGACCCCAGGGCTTTTATTTGAACAAACTTGGTAGACACCCATTAGAACATGTTTCATGCTAAATATTTTAGCTCTAGCTCTTTGGGTTCTTTAAAAGAAGATTTTTTAAGTTTTTACTATATGCATATAGGGAAAATAAATGACCCCCTGGGGCGGGGCCAATTTTGACCCCAGGGCTTTTATTTGAACAAACTTTGTAGACACTCACTAGAAGATGTTTCATTCTTAATATCTAAACTCTAGCTATGTGGGTTTTTTCAAAGAAGATTTTTTAAGTTTTTGCTATACACATGTAAGGAAAATCAATGACCCCCGGGGCGGGACCAATTTTGATCCCAGGGCTTTTATTTGAACAAACTTTGTAGACACCCATTAAAACATGTTTCATGCTAAATATTTTTAGCTCTAGCTCTTTGGGTTCTTTAAAAGAAGATTTTTTAAGTTTTTACTATATGCATATAGGGAAAATCAATGACCCCCTAGGGCGGGGCCAATTTTGACCCCAGGGCTTTTATTTGAACAAACTTGGTAGACACTCACTAGAAGATGTTTCATGCCAAATATCTAAGCTCTAGCTCTTTGGGTTTTTTAAAAGAAGATATTTAAAGTTTTTTCTTTTGGTTGCCATGGCAACCAGAGTTCTGCATGGAATTAAATTCTTTGAACAATTTTTAAAGGTGACCACCAAAGGAACATTCCTGTGAAGTTTGGATGAAATTGGCTAAGTGGTTTATGAGGAGATGTCATTTAAAGTAAAAATTTACGGACGGACGACGGACGGACGACGGACGGAAAGCGATCACAAAAGCTCACCCTGTCACTTTGTGACAGGTGAGCTAAAAACATATAACAGGCCTTAAACTGTAGGCAGTGAATGAATCTAAGCATGTAACGAGTGCAGACCAAGATTAAATCTGTGCCATTTTATCATGGCCTGCACTGAAAAAAGATGAATAGTTTTTTTGCTTAAGACCCTTTTCAACATTTTACAAGGTAAGGGTTAAAGCTGCACACCTCCAGATGAGCAAAAACATTTCAAGAAATTCAATCTTTAGAAAAATGTATGAAGATCTTTAGAAAAGTAAACAGATTCAATAATTAGTTAATTATTTAAATGTTATGTGTGATTAATGACTGATTTTGCAGTATCAATCACTATAATTCTACTGCGTTACTAATGCAGTAAGAGGTATCTATGTATATTTTGACTTCTTTTGGTAATGTGCATTGATTGTAAGTGCCGTTTGCAATTTATAAATTACTTTCTTTGTTCACTTCACAACATTTTACTTTTAAATACATTTTTAAAATATTCATGAAAATTAGCATGAATCTGGAGGCATACTGCTTTAAGGTCAAATTAAGCACGAAGATGTTATAATTTCATTTTTTCAACTTACGGGTCAAATACTTGTCTTGTAATGTATTCTTTCGGCATCCTAGGAAGCTGATGTGAGAAGACATTCTGCATCCCTGTAATAAATTATCTCACTTATAAAATCGTACTGAAAACAACTTAAAATGGAACTTAAAGGCCAATTAAGCCTAAAAAATGCTATTATTTTCATTCCTTAAAAGCTTTTTATTTTGGTGCTATGTTACAGTTTACAAAAAGTTGCTCATTGGCAATATAGCTTAGCTATCTTTTGATCCTTCTGTATTTTGGCATTTAGTGCAGATATAGTGTTTAAGTATTTTGCATGGAAGTCAAAATACCACTTTGTGTACATTTTACTACTTTTATAACAAGTTATTTCACATTACATGCTATTTTCTTCAGATGCTCAGCATCTCATATGTTCTGTATCCATTAATACAACATTATAAACACATATTACCCCTTTTTTACAGAATGACACAAAAAGGTTTTTTTCTGAGGCATAATGTGCCTTAACAATTAACTATTATCAAAGGCAGGATTTTTATTTCCTTAACACTTTGTTTCTGTAATTGTGAGGATATCCAAAAAAGACACAAAATATCTTTTATTTTAAATTGTTAAGTTAAATTCCAACATGGTTTCTTTTATTTTGACTGTATCTGTTTATAAATTTCTTTATGAAGGTTACTGAATAGGCGAAACAAAAGTCATTAATGAATAAACTGAAATCTGACCCAGTTGATTTTGCGTGTTTTACATCCTTTATATTTTTTTTATAAAGTTTCTGAAATATGAGTATCTGACCAAGATTTTTCAATGTTCTGTTTTCTTCGTCAGAAATATATGCATGGGTTAATTATCCTTCTGGATAAAATGTGTAGTCTCCATTGTTCTAAATACATAAATGGTGACATTTTGTACAGCATTTTCACCATTTCATTCAAGTGTTGGTGAAAAAAAACATCATGATGAAGCTACTGGTAATTTTGCAACAATCAGTTGTAACAAATGGTCACCATTGACAAGTTATCTCTAAAATTATTACAAATCATATCACACCTACCTATAAGCCATATTAGAAGCTGTCGACTAGGTTTCCTACTCAGAGAGTTTCCAATGACATGGAATTCTATAACACCTTTTTTCTCTTCATTTCTCGCACTCTCGTCTCTTGGTGCATGACTAGGGAAGAGCGAGGACTGAAAATAAAAACATATACATAAAACACTTGACTTGTCCGAGAAGTAAAAAGGTGATTATGAGGTACAGATGTGTGTGATCAATTATTAATAATTATACTCTTATCTCAAAAATTATATTCTTGGAAACTTAAAGGCCTATTATGCCTCACAAATGCTATCATTCTAATTTCTCAAAAACTTTTTATTTTTGGCATCTAAAAAATACTCATTTGCCATATAGTTAAACTATTTTTGCTTGTTTTGATTTGCTGGCAATTGGTATACTGTAATTATAATGAATTAGTATTTTGTAAGGAAGTCAAAACATTAATTTGTCTACATTTTGCTAACTGTATGACATTGCTTACATTCAGCGCTACTTTCCTCAGTTGTTAAGTTAACCATCAAGCATGTTCTAAATCCATTCTTTAAAACATGTTTGACATTTCTAAATAATTTAATAAATATGAATTTCTAAGGCATAATGTACCTTTAAGTAACTCACATCTGGGCCGACCATCTCCTCTGGATCATTGATCGTGGCTACAATCTCTTGTATAAGATCCATGGGAACATCTCCATCAATCTTTGGCTTTTTAACTTCTTCCGGCACTAAAACTTCCTCCAACTTTCTCTTCTCTATCAAGATAAAATAAAAACTTTGGTTACATATATGGTATCCCCGTACTGCCACTTTCCGATCAGCTAACAGATTTTTCTATAATAACTGACAGTGAAATTATAAAAATAAAATTTCTTTTACAATTCTGCAAATATTATCATTTCAGCTAATAAATGCAACAACTTTTAAAAATTTTACCTGAATTTTTATTATGAATCGAGGACAAATCATTACTGTCCCATTTTCCTGTTCTTCAAAATTTCACAACCACTTTTCAATCAGTTAACAAAATATAAACTGTACCACATAAAAATTGTCATACAATGTTAAAATATAACCAGTTATGTATTTTGAAGAAATTTTGACAAACTCAACTTCAGATAAATGGTAATAAACAATTTTGAACCTATTTATAATGACATTTTTCAATCTTGATATTTTTTGCAGTAGTAAAGCTGTCACAATTGGGGTATGAATGTACATCTCAATGTGCATAACAGAAAAAGCATGTTCTTGTGAAATTTTTAGGATCTCAGGGTCTATATGACCCCATTCTAGTGACAACTTTCTGAAAAGTTATCAGAGAGAATGTTTTTTCTTGGTTAAGTGACTGTTAGTTTACTGACGTATAACCTTTCAATTAAGAATTGTATGGTAAAATATGTACATATTAAAATTATAGCTTTTGAAGTGCAGTATTTTTAGAAAATTATTGCGATTTTGTAACTGGGTAAAATAATTGACATTGCTGCTGATAAATGTAGTCAAGGTAAATACAAGATGTGCTTACAGTTTGGTTACATGACAAATAAGGTCAAAAATAAAGAATTTCCAGGGACGATTGAAAAGTGGTTGTGATTGAAAACTGGCAGTATGTGGATATATTTTTTATCAGCTGCATAATACATTATCTTTCACAGGGATTTATCTATTTCCATTGTTATCAAAATCTGTTATCAAGTCACACTGCCAGAATAATATTTTCATTAACAAAGTACTGTTGATTTTTTTCTATACTGTTGGCTGCCTAATTTCACAATTTTGATATAAAAATCCCTTAAAATTACAATGGACAGTTCCAAATGCAGAATGGGACAAGTCGATTTTACAAATTCAGAGTAGGACTAGTCCAGTGTAAAATATTTAGGAGGGTGGAGGTGAGCATAGGAATTAAAGTATTAAATCATATTCCATACAGAGGATATTGAATGAGTTTAAATTTACTAAATTTATTTAACGAGCGGAATAAAATCATATCATGCAGGCCTGAGCTGGAGAGCATAATTTTGTATAATTCAACAACATCAATAAATTTAGTATTGAATCTACATTAATATATTATTTCATTTATCACATTTCTAAAATAATAACGGGAAACTGTTACAAAGAGTCATTTTTCATTGACCCGCCTACAGTGAAACGCTAAAATTAGACCACTTTTACACTATATTTGTATGGAAGGCAAAAGTGTCATTACACAAGTGTAATATCATTTTTATTAAAAGGCTTTATTACACTCCTGCGCTGCGGTTTATGTGATAATAATTAATTCTTACATTAAAAGTCTTTTGACCATTATTCATTTGTTAAACAACCATTTTAGTAAATCAATAAAACTGTCACAATATATAAGAAGAGTTAAAATGACATACCGCTGTACAAACCTGCCAATGATTCATTTCTCGACGATCTACGTAAAGCGACAGGTGTACAATTTTTGTCATCTGATTTCTCAGAGCTGGCGACTGAACTGGCATCTACTCAAAACAAGAAAACAAATCAAGAAATGATATGAGATAAGTTCTATATAGTTAAACCCTGGTATTTTGATGACCTTCTATTTGAAAAATTAGCATTACCCAAGGTGTAGGCAAGGTACTCTTTGTTATCACTATGTATATTAACATAAATATGAAGGTATTATTTGTTATTCCAATACCTCCCATTTGCAGAAAGATTTGACAATTATTACAAAAATTACACTTATTATATGGAGCCAAGTGGACTAGCATCGGCTGAGTTGCTGACTGTTCCGAATGGTGAAAGATTTCCAACAGCCATGCATGAATTTTACACAAATATGATACTTACACACTTTGTGTTTAACATTTTGTTAAATAATTGATTAGATAACAAGTGTTCAAAATATTGTTTTAAATTTAAATATGAAGAAATAAAATCAAATAAGCAAAAGCTACAATGTATTTGTATATAAGAAGACATGTTAAACTTGAAATTTGTTGTTTTCGGTTACAATCACATCAACATATTTCATTCCATATCTTTTTTTATCCTATACTAGTGGTGGTGTAACAGATTGGCCCTTTATTAAATTAAACCTTGCATTAACAGTAATATAGGTTCTAAATAACATAATTGAGCCGCGCCATGACAAAACCAACATAATGGGTTTGCGTCTAGCATGGATCCAGACCAGCCTGCGCATCCGCGCAGTCTGATCAGGATCCATGCTGTTCGCTATCAGTTTCTCGACTTGTAAAAGGGTTGGTAAGCGAACAGCATGGATCCTGATCAGACTGCACGGATGCGCAGGCTGGTCTTGATCCATGCTGGTCGCAAACTCATTATGTTGGTTTTGTCGTGACACGGCTCATTTCAGTTTGGCTTGTACTTACCTGAAATAGCACCTGTGTTATAACATTGGCCTGAGAAAACTCGGTATCCCAGATAGGCGAACCATCACCGTACACTTCCTCTTCTAACATGGTTAGAAACCTGGAAGTAATATTGAATACCTGATTCTACATTAAGGTTATGTAGCTTCCACAAACATAAATACTCAAAACAATAATCTTATTTATTTACCAGATCGGGTTTGAATTCCCAAAGTTCTTGGCATGCACATATCTTCACCTTAGTAAATGCAGTAACTGGTTAACTCCTATTAAACTATATAAGGAGTGAACCGGTTACTGCGCTAAGGTGACAGTATGGTATATCAGAATAAGAAACATTACAGATTTTTTCTTAAATCTAGTGTATTAATAAGATAAATCATTTTAGCAGCTTCAATCATTTCAAGACTTGTCTCTATACCAACATTGACACGACAGCTAAACAAACTATCCAGGCCGTCCATATCTTCATATTTCTTGAACAGCAAAAAGCGCTTAATCCAGCAATAGCGGTACCTTTAAGTACAAGTTAAAGGACAAACTTATTAATATACAATATGAAATAAACATGCACAAACTTTAATTTTTATAAGAAATGTTCATTTAACTTAAGGTCATAATTGTCTTTATTATGATTTTGTCCTATGGTATACATTGTGTATTCATATTGAATTATTTCAATTTATTTTTAATGACTAAATAAAATAAAACTCGAGCTATGAAGTGATAAAAACCCAACTTTTCAACAACATCTAATTCTTCAGCCTTTACTTGGCTAAAGCGGCAACATGTCAACAATATCAAACTCTCCAGCTTATTCTCGGGTAAGTTTGCTGAGCTAGCTTGTGCTGCATCGAATTGGTCAAACTGTCCATTTTACGTCAAATGGATTCCATTATAAAAAAGCATTTTTTATAAGTTTGAGAAAGTATTAAAATGTATTGACTGACACCAGGTCATACTTTAGGTGACACTGCTAAAATAATGCTTACCCAAACCTGGAATCAGGAAGTTAAGTACACAACAAATTAAAGACATAGGTAATGGCATCGCTGGTACCGCTATCCGATCACTCTTTCCTTTATAATGTCTGGACCCTTTTCCCATTTTTAAGTAACTGAAAATTAATAAATGTATATTATTGAATACGATATATTGGGTTTTGTTAAAATATTCTACTACTTCAGCCATTACTAAATTTCCCGAAATCGCCCTCTATCAAAAAAAAACTTTAAAAATTTTACTTACAGCCATGATTTTATGCTTCTGCTGTTTCCCCCCCTTTTCTCTCCTCCTTTTCTACTCCTTTTCCTCCCCAACTCATTCTACTTCCCATACTCCTCCTCCACCTCCTAATCCCACTATTATTATTGAAGTTGTTGTTCGTTTTTAAGTCTATTCACAAACATGCAAATTTCATGGTTTCAGTTATATTAGTTCTGTCTCCTTTATAAATACAAAATAAATGTATCCCGCGTCCAAAAATTTTACGTTTCTGAAAATAAAACCTGACATTTAAGTGAAGTTGAATTATCACTTTATTGACTTCTTTATTAAACTGTCGGATAACTTTCAAATATTAAAAGAAAGTGTACAAAGCGCTTATTTATTCAATCAAATTGCCCGTTGAAATATGAAACGTGACAAAGAAAACGCTATTCGAACTAGCAATCCATAAACTTGCAATTTAATGCTTAATATCTTTCTATTTATAACAGCCTTAATTATTCTATTTTCAAAATTCATTATATCTTATGTCCGATTCAGCAACTTAACTAAAAACTAACTGTAACCGGCACGACACCACTTTGTTTATTTTCACTTTCTTCTTTCCAAAATCATCATATTTTTGTTACTATACCCCCACCACAAAATTGGGGGTGGGGGCTATAATTGATTCGCTTTCGTGTCGGTCGGTCCGTCTGTCTCCATTTACGTGTCCGCTCTATAAATCCTATACCAATTGAAGGATTTTATTTAAACTTGGCTCAAATGTTCACCTTAACAAGGGGATGTGCAGCACCCATGTTGCCCATGTGTCAGCTCAAGGTCAAAGTCACAATTGAAGGTCAAATATCAAACAATCAAACATTAGACACTATGTCGTGTCCGCTCTGCAAGTCGTACACTAATTGAAAGATTTTCTTCAAACTTGGCTCAAATGTTCATCTCAACAAGAAGATGTGCAGAACCTATGTTGCCCATGTGTCAGCTCAAGGTCAATGGCACAAATGTCAAATATCAAACAATCAAATATTAGACAGTATGTCGTGTCCGCTCTGTAAGTCCTGCACTAATTAAAAGATTTTCTTCAAACTTGGCTCAAATGTTCACCTCAACAAGGGGATGCAAAGAACCCATGTTGCCCATATGTCAGCTCAAGGTCAAGGTCACAATTGAATGTAATATATCAAACAATCAAATATTAGACAGTATGTCGTGTCCGCTCTGTAAGTCCTACACTAATTGAAAGATTTTCTTCAATCTTGGCTCAAATGTTCACCTCAACAAGGTTATGTGCAGAACCCATGTCACCCTTTTTCCGGCTTAAGGTCAAGGTCACACTTGAAGGTCAAACATTTTAATGTGTATTTGAATATTTCTAAAACTAGAAAAGGTATTTGCTAGAAATAAAAAAAAAAGATATATGAAGTGTCACAAATAAGATATGCAGGTCAAGTTTCATAACATTTTGACATAGTTATGCGTCTTTTTAAGTCTTCAAATTTACATACAATCAATACTAGACAATATATCGTGTCCGCTCTATAAATTCTTAAAGAGGTTAACTAGTTACATAACTTGTTAACCTCTTAACTAACAAGTTAATTAAGAGGTTAACTAGTTACGTAACTAGTTAAACTCTTTATTAACTAGTTAATTATGTGGTTGATCACTAAGTATTTAGCTGGCTAAATAATAAAGGGGTGGCAGTTGTAGGCACTAACATGCATTTATTTCCCGTTATGGTATTTTATTTATTGAAAACATTAACTAGTTACGTAACTAATTAATCACTTTATATTAAGCTGGTAAAATAATGAAAGGATGGCAGTTGTAGGCACTAACATGCATTTATTTCTCGTAATGATCTTTTATTAATTGAAAAAAGTTAACTAGTTACGTAACTAGTTAACCACATTACCACTTAGTTAATTAAGAGGTTTACTAGTTACGTAACTAGTTAACCTCTTAAATAACTAGTTAGTTATATGGTTATCTGGTGGCATAAATATGCCAGCATAGTTTTCACATATTGATAAAGTATACATAGCTAAGGGAATTAAAGCTCAAATCATGTAGCTTCTCATACTACAAGAGTTATCTTTCTGACTTTTGAAAAATCGAAAGAGGAAGTAAAAATTGGAAATTTTACGAATCACCCTTGGAAGTGTTTGTTTACCGCCATACCATAAATTCGTACAATTAAAAGTAAGTTTAATATATATTATATAATTTATATTTGATAATCTTGTATACATGTAGACTACAATTTTCGCTTATTTTCCATAAAATTGTAGCTGAAGTTTTGTCGTAATTTCATTTAAGCTTTAATTGTGACGTAATTAATGACTATAACTTAGATGACTATTACATTAAGATTAATGATAACGTTAGAAATCGTTTCACGTTGAATAAAAAAATGCAAATTGGTACATATAGGAAATAAATCATTGAAGCAAGTAAAGCAAGTATTTCTCCTAGGCCAGTTTCTACAGTTTTTAAATATCAATTTTCAGAACTATTCTAATTGGTCCTTGTTCAAAGAAAAGTTATTGATACAATATGCAATTTTTGCATTTATTTTTTTGAAATTCCAATATGAGATTGTTAGAAATGAGATGTGAAATTGTGTAACATTTATTAAAAAA